GATATCCTTTCCCGCCTTTTCAAACCACTTCCTACTCCCCAGTGCAGCTACCGTCCTCTCTTCTCTATTCCATGCCTCAAACATCTCCCTGTACGCCCCTTGTATTTTTCCCAGCTCAGTCATGTACACTTCCCTCTCCTCTTCGTACCACGGATATTCCGCGACTACATGAACTTGGTCTTCGCATTCGAAGCCGCAATCACATTTGAACTTGTCGTCTTCCTCGTCTACCGTCCTATGTCTTCGTCGACGCTCTCGAAGGCCTATGTCCCCGGTCCTGAATATGACCTTCAGCTTTGTCCCTGCATCCATTGGTCCATGTAGTAGGTAATCCTTGAACCCTATTCCTTCTTTAAAACATTCCGTACACTTACTTCTAGACCCTCCTTATCCTTGGTTTCTTTCCTTAGCCCAGGGGGGGGGGGGGGGGGAAATCTTGCTGACTGCATGGGTACATGGGTACACTGTCCAATGCTTTGTTCCCTTGTTCGTACGCTTGTTTGTAAAGATGTCAGTCGTGGTCGTGTTTCGGGTCCAATTAGACTATCACGGAAAATTCAAACAAACGTAAATTACAGCAGTATCGCCAAAATGCCACAAAACGGGCACTTGTCAATTGCACTTGTACGTGTAGCTTGAACCGGGGAAAGGGAAGAATCTGCACCCCAAACAGATGGTGCGTAATTGCAAGTAGTACCGGCAGGATGGAAGGATTGTAGTCAATCTAACTGCCAATGATATTAGAACAAAAAATCTCCCCCCCTGCCTGGTTGGCAACTTGTGGAAGGAAGACGGTTTCAACGTCAAACGGTAGTTTAATAGTGTACGGGGCAGAACGTCGCTCCTCTTGGATAGGATTGAAAAATGCACCCAACATGATGGCATCGCATTTCGCCGGGTTTGCCTGAGATCTGAGGGGAATGAGGTACTAGAGCCAAGGATTTTAGGGGCTACCAACCGCAACATGAATGATGAGGAACGTCCATATTTGCCCCCGATGGCTGCCTGGACTAAACACCACTTGAGTATGAATGAGGCTTGCTTCCGGAACGAGCAAAACAAGATGCCAGCAAAATCATGATACTACAAAACGGGGCGATGATCTTACAGAACGTTCCATATCTTGAAGAACATCCACCCTGTAGAAACGGAAACACCAACCAAGGGTACAATGTAAGGTATAAGTCTATATTACGTTCACTTGTATGCATGTGTATACGTTTTTACATTTCATCGCAATCTCCCGTTGCCCTTCAGAGCGCATAGCATGCCCAACACCATCCGCTTCATAACGTCGCAAGATGGCTCTTTGCGCAACCATGGACGCCGTCCGTCGCGTTGCGGTGCATCCCACGCCCAACTGAGGGCATATATATTCGTCACCACCGTAGCATGAGAGCCAATAACACGTGGACTGGTGACTGGTGGAGACATGGAGCATGACGACCAAAGACGAAATGGAACCGTCATGTACGATGGCAACACGTGAACATTGCAACGGATGGCTGGCCGACACAGACAAACCGCCTCGCCCGCTGCCAGCTATGAACGTTAAGATTAAGATTGAATGGAGATCGCAGCACGTCGCGACCGACATGAGTGAAGCATGAGCGCCGTACGTGCCCCCTTCGAAGACCTGCGTCAAGAAGCGGGCGAGAGAGCGCAGTATTATAGCGAGTTTTTCCGCTGTAAAACACGTAAATCGTTACCAAATTACCACGCTGCTGCTGTGCACAGAATAGCTGGAGCGTTATAGATGTGACTGACCATGACAAACCTGCCCGTGCCTCGGGCACCCACATTAGTGCGTGAGAACCAACGAGCACCATTCGTCAGCCGTGTAGCAACGATGTCGAAGGCTACAGCAGTAGGGTGATGTTTTCTTTGGTCGGATTGGTGGTGTTGAGTAAACACCAGGTGGTTGATTGAAGCAAGACGGAGGACATGCCTCTCAAGGAGCGGACGATGGAGATGGTTTTACGCCTAGGCCTTCTTGGGAGCGGCAGCCTTCTTCTTGGGGGTGGAGGGCTTCTTCTTGGCGGTGGTCTTCTTAGCCGCGGGCTTCTTGGCGGTTGTGGGCTTCTTCTTGGTGACGGTCTTCTTGGTGGTGGTGGCCTTCTTGGCGGCGGGCTTCTTGGTCGTGGTCTTCTTGACAGCGGGCTTCTTGGCCACCTTCTTCTTCGGCACCTTCTTCTTGACGACCTTCTTCACCACCTTCTTTTTCACGACCTTCTTCTTGGGGGCGGGCTTCTTCGCCTCGGCGCTCAGCTTGTAAGAGGCCTTCATCTGCTTGACGGCAAAAGAATGAAGAAGTACCGTTCAGTCAGTACGGAACGTGCAACACACGACTCAACCTGTCAACCGATCACCCACCCTGCAACCCCACAAACCACACCTGGTGCGAACACTTACCGAAGGGACAACCCCGAGTCAAAACCATACCATCAAAACTACCCACAGGCCATACACGGGCGACATGAGGTACCGCACAACCAAAAACACGCCCGGTTGCAAGGTTCTTCGAGCCAAAATGTCATCTCGTATGCATGTCACACATACGGTAACCTTGTTCTTGGCGTGGAACTACATGTACACAGTAGCAGTGTGACAAGCAAGCAAGTGCTCTTTCTTTCTTGCACACTCCGCTACAAATGCCTGGTCCACAGGAGACTGCTGCCGTGCTCTTGTGACCGTACACGATTAAGCGATATTTTGCGCAGAGAACGACCATTCACACGCATGATGCATAGACTAGTACCCTCCTGGGATGGCATTAGCCACGTTTCGGCTGAGAGCTACTGCTGTACTGTACAGCAGCACCGGTGTGCAATTAATGTGAAGACCTGTACACTTGTAGATTATGCATAACCAAGGAGTCAAGAATCAAGGGGCGGTCACGTCTCACCTTGACGAACTTGCCAGACTCCACTCCCTTCTTGAGGGCGCTGCGCATCTGGTGCGGCGTGAAGTTGAGGGTAGGGTAGGTGGCGGTGATGCTCTTCTTGATGGCCTGGATGGAGGATCCGTTACGCTCCTTGAGGGTCTTGATGGCATCGAATACCATCTGTGGTGCAAGGAGAGAAGCGCAAGAGGGTATGGGGGTAAGGAATCAGCAAAGGAACACCCTATCTACCTATTCAATAGAGTTATTTCTGTGCCTATGGCCGGCTTCAACGCACCTTCACGTGTGCCCAGTGCAGCAACGGAGCGACGTGTGCGCTTCAATCGCGCCCAAACCAACGGCCGCTTGCATCATCGGTACGACCACACGACTACATACTGCACAGCAGCGTCGGACACGTGGGCACTTTCAGAGAAATAGGACCCTGCATCGTTTCATCGTGCTTGTTGGGGTGTTGCTTTGCGAACACCCTGTGGCTTCGGACATTCAACGCGTGTTCGGCGAACGCCCGTGCGCACAACGAATTATCTCTCCAATCGGTGAGCGCATCATAGCCTCCACCTATGCATATACAGCAGGGTACTCACCACGTTGTACGTGGGTTTGGCGGTCGACATGGCTGCTGCTTGGTGCTGAACAGAAGTTGAGGGTTGAGAGACAGGGGGGGTGACTGTGTGTGGGAGATGGAAGAACCAAACGACATAGGACGAAGAGGAGAGAGCAAGAGAGAAGGAGGAGCCACATGTTCCGGTTCGAAATGCAAATAAAGTCCATTTCCATTTTTGAGCCAATCATAGTTCCACATTCGATAAACATGGCGTCACGAACCGACACTTTTCAAATCTCCTACATAACTCGCCGCGTTGTGTGGCGAGCTCTCCTCCCGATGCCCTCCCCCACATCGTTCATTCACAACTCTCTCTCCTCTCTACTTTCCTGTTCCTCTCTCTCAACACCATGGCTCGCACGAAGCAGACCGCCCGTAAGTCCACCGGAGGCAAGGCCCCCCGCAAGCAGCTGGCCACCAAGGCCGCCCGCAAGTCCGCACCGGCCACCGGCGGTGTCAAGAAGCCCCACCGCTACAGGCCCGGCACCGTGGCCCTGCGCGAGATCCGTCGCTACCAGAAGTCCACCGAGCTGCTCATCCGCAAGCTCCCCTTCCAGCGGCTTGTCCGCGAGATCGCCCAGGACTTCAAGAGCGACCTCCGCTTCCAGGGATCGGCTGTACTCGCTCTGCAGGAGGCCGCCGAGGCCTACCTTGTGGGCCTATTCGAAGACACCAACTTGTGTGCGATCCACGCCAAGCGCGTGACCATCATGCCCAAGGACATCCAGCTGGCCCGCCGCATCCGCGGCGAGCGCTCTTAGGTCGTCACAGCCTAGGCTGTATCGATGGAGGCCACTCACTCTCTACCGACGTGAGTCAATCCTCTCCCAACAACCAACCTGGTGTTTTCTCAACACCACCCTTCGTACCGAGGAAAAATGTCCGTTGCGATTTGTGTTTCTTTTCTTGTTGGCCAAGAGGCTTGTGTTTTGTGTTTTGTGTTTTTTTTTCTTAATATGACACAACGAAACCATCTCTATCTTATAGAAAAGAGTCTGAGACAGATTAGCAATGGATCCATAGCGTCAGAAAGTACCTGTATGTCTACGATTTCCCAGACAGCATATAGGGACATCTCCCCTGTGTTTGAAATGTTGGAAATCGTGTTGTCATAGATTGCCGCTCCATCCTTCTGTCCCGGAAGCAAGGGGACCCATGGTAGGTACGGCAGGTTGTGGTCACATGCATACGCATATTTCTGTGCTGGCCTACGACTGAAATATCACTCCTCCACAGTTCCAAGACTTAGGTGATGAGAGAAACGTAAATACGTTGGTATGAAGTACATGTTGTGTGGCAGCAATAGCACATGCTCTTCGCTTTAGAAATGAAAGTACAGCAGTAGTGGTCCCGATATACAATAGTTGTAGTGGCACCCTGAGTAGTGAAATGCCCTCAATAGTGGCAATTTAAAACGTCGGAGCCCCCTGTATTCACCGCAAGCTCTGTCTGAGGCCAGTTGTTATCGGGACCACTACTGTACTTCGAAGAACTTACCTCTATTGTTTATTGGTGGCCGAGGTCGTTTCTACCTCAAAGCTTTGTTTTGTTGCAAACCCAACATAGTTGTAGGAACGGTGACCAAAAGCGGGTACGCCCGGTGCGAACATCGCCGCAGTAGTCAGGTAAACCCTTAAAACGCAATTCACAGCGACCGCCGCTGCCCAACGCCTCCCGACCTGCGAGCCTGTGAGCCTAGCCGTCGGTCGACCGGGTACACCGGATCGTGGCTATCCAAAACCCCGTGGGGTACCCGATTTTGGCAACCGCTTTAGATGTTGTTGAGGTCAAAAGCGCAAGTCTATTGCGTCATCCCCTAAACTGAAAATCATTTAACACCCAAAACAAAACAATAACCACACACACACACCAAATGGCACACCAGACCATCAGTCCGGGTA